CGAGCAGCTTGGTCCCTCTCCTGCCCTGCATTGGCCTGGAAGTAGCTGCTGCAATTATTAAAAAGGAACAATGTAAACTTCTCCCTGAGCCAAATTTTTAATCAAAGCAATGATGAAGTACAGGATCTGTGTGTCGTATGTCAAAACAATAGCAGCATGTATCGCCTGGTAATTAACACTCAGGCATGAATCTGGAAAAGTAATTCCCAGTCAGGGTGGAGTGTGCATATTCTTTTGTAAGGCTTTTGATAATTTATTTTGATTTTGATTAATGCTGAATCTTTAGTATGGTTAGTTTTTTGCAGATGCTAATTGGATGAGTTTTGTATGCAAGTGTGCATAAACACCAGATTAATGAGTAAAAGGTAATCGAAATGAGACTGGCATTATTCTGGCAAAGTATGCTGCATACTTTTTAGAGTAACCCCTGTGTCACTTTTACCTACCAAACTGAAATTTGTGGAATTAAAAATCTGTAATATTCCATCTGTGCTGCAATTGATTTTGGAGAAACTTGTACCAGTTCTGGCAACAGCAAAATCTCTTTATGTAGCGCATCTTGTATTGAAAAAAAGAAATTTGCATAGATTTTTTTTTCCTGAAGATTTTATGGAAAAACTAATCTGAGGAATGTTCCCAGATTATTTAATCTGTTGCTTCTGGAAGAGGATCTCAAGTAAGAACCAAAGAAAAGTAAAGCTTTATTTAGATGCCAGCCTTCAGAATGTGCGATAGATACAACCTAGGTTATTCGTTTTGGCCAGATCCCTACAGTTTGTCCTTAAATACTTAAACAGAATTTTAATCTCATTCATGTATTCATTTTGCTCTGTAGTAATCTTGCCTTTGTCATTTACTTTCATTTAGTCTGAGTCTAGGTAAATTACTTGGTACAGTTCCAAGTGTTAAAAGCAGAGGGGGGATAGGACCTGTGATCACAGATTGTTGAAAATCTGGCCATGCTTGCACTTAAGGTATATAGCTGAGGGTGTTGCCTTGTTCCTTTCTGCTGCTGCACCATCATAATAATCAAACTAATCTCTAGCTCAGAATAAACAGAAGGAATGAGCAAATGAATTAGATTGGCTGTTTTCAAATGACATAATTTTATTTGTGGGGTTGGTTGAGTACTTAAGTTGTCTGCAACCTGACAAAATATTGGGATGCTGTGTTTCCTGAAAGACCTGATGTTTATCTGTTTTGCTGAAGAATAAAAAAAAGATTTTTCAGTTGTTAATGTACAGTAATTGAATTATAAATTAAAGCAAAAACATAGTAAATCCTGTTTAATCTACAATAATTTCAGTCAAGATTAAGAGCTGGGAATGATGTGACCTCCATATTTTTGATCACAGTGATTGTGGGATGAATGCTTGGGATCTGTACTTCAGCAATTGGATTAAAAACAAAATCAAGACAAGCAATGTTTTTCCTGGTTCATAGAGTGAATCCTGTTCTCTAAATTGAGTTGTACAAGGAAATACTTTTTTTCTCTTACTAAAGGAGGAAGAGGTAGGGAGTGGGGGAGTAACTGCATGTAATAAAGTTCTAATGTGAAATTGGATTTAACAATAAAACACTTAAAAAGGTATCACTGCTTATGTTAAGGCATAAAATTGCTGTAATCTATTTCAACTTTTATTGCAGAATCTAAGAGGCACTTTTAGTTTCTTCCAAAATTTCAACAGCTCATTGTTTGAAATGGAAAAAATCAAAGCAGGAGAGACACAGTTTGCAGGAGTGGTCAGTAGTGATATCATTTGTAGGGGTAGGTAGTATTTCCTGTTTTCTATTCTGAATTCAACTAATTCAGTTCAAGGATTGTCTGATCTGAAATTCAGAAAATAATTGTGAAGGTTCAAAATGAAGGAAAACTTAAGAACAAACCTCCCTGAGATGCAAAGTAAAACTGTTAATGGAGAAGGGATCCTAAGACTAATGTCTCCAGCAGTGTGTGTGAATGGATGAAATTTAAAAGCCTGGCCAGGAAACAAGCTGAGGAGGTTCTGTTTTGATTTCATGATGGCAAGGAAAAAAAAAAAAAGTCTCTGCCAAGAGCATCTCATTTTAAAAAATATTATTCTGTTTCTAATAATTAAACATTTTGTGATACCTGTGTTCAAAAACCTCGATGGACATAATGTCTGAAAGGAAGTTTTATCAACAGAATTGTTTAAAAATAAATTAGTTTTTCATGTAGAATGAATTTGGTAAATTTACTTCCTTGTGTATTTAGCATATTGAAGAAGTTTTAATACATTTAATTTTGAAGTGATGGGCTTCTGCAGTTTAGATGGATTCCATTTCCATCTCTATGCAAGGAGAGATACTGCAATTCAAGGAAAGTTATCTACTAAGATTAATTATTTCAATGTAATTAAAATGTACAGTATAGCCATTTGAATAAATATGTGAAACACCATATACACAGACCTTAATAAATCTTGAGATATTCTGTTCTCATTTAGAAAAATGAGATACATTGGCAAGAATTAATCTTTTGGAAAATTAAATCACATTTAGGAAATTGAAACTACAAATACAGTATAAGGTCACGATTAACTTTTTTATTTCTAAGTCAGTGTTTCTTGTTTTACCCTTCAAACGATGATTAAGAAAGTGGTGTTTTACTTAATAAAATCTGAAGTATCTTTTAGAAAATAATAGACTTTCTATTTCTGGATTTTAATTTTTAATGGGAAGTTGCCGTGGCAACACTTGCCCAGCCAATTGCCTTTGTTCTCTAAAAAGGAAGGAAAAAAAAATCTTTATGGAACGTATCTATTTCCAGGTTCCTGCTTGCTTGTCAGAATTTTGTTTGCTGAACTGAAGAACACTGCAGTGTCAAATTTCAGGTTCTTCTCTTGTTATGTTTCCTCTAGGAAATAATTAACTTTCTTGAGTTGGATGAATTGGTCTGTCTTCCACTCCTGTTGTCATATGCGGCATCTCTGTAGTGATGTGAAAATTTTTTTAATAATCCAGGGTTGACCTCCTGCTAAATGAGAAGGTGCTAAACTTAATCTTACTCAATGTCTCTTGGCTTATGTACGAAAGATTACAAATTCCCTCTTTGCTGCGTTGCAAGCTCTAGAGAATAACAAGTAAAACATGAGCTTCCAAGGTGAAAACTTGGGCTGTAAGGGTAGCGATGTCTGTGGCTCAGCTGCTCTCTTGCAGAGGGTTTCAGCCTGGTGGCCCATGATTGCTGGCAGGTACCCGTAGAAGGGTTGCCTGGTTTGGGTTGTCTGGGCTGGGTCTGACCAGAGACTCTCCATGTTTTAATCCTGAGGAGCAAGATGAGAAACTTGCTATGATTTGCATTTAAAGTTTAGGTTGGAGCTCAGGTTAGAAAAAATTGATTGAGTGGATATTGAAAGATGGGGTAAGTTTTATGGGTGTTTGTTGCATTTCTTTAACTTTTTTTTTACGTAAATTGTTTCTTGTGGTTTGTGTCCTGCTGCAGCAGGGGCTGGTGGCTCCTTAGGGCTGGGATGTGGGGGGCAGTGGAGTCTCCCCAGGGACAGCAGGCGTGGATACCACAGCCAGAGCCTGTCCTCCCCCCCAGCCAGGGTGTGGGGCAGCTGCAGGCAGCAGGGCAATCCCATCGCAGGCATCTCTGGCAGGGCCCGTGGCCAGGCTGGGCAGGGCTACAGGGAGCTGGCGCAGGGTCTGGCCCCCATGGGGGCTGACATGGAACCCTGGGCAGGGCAGGGAGAGCCCTGGGTTGATGGGCAGGGACAGGCCTGGGGATACCCTCAGGGCTCTCACAATGCAGACAGACATATGCGATGTTCTGTCATTATCATAACTAGTAACACACAATGTGCCAGTAGTCTTTCACTGACATTCGGTATTGTAGTAATCTTTGAAAGACAAATGTGTATGTAAAACTTGTATGCATTTATGAAAATGTTTAGAAGGACCTATTAAATTACCAAAGGGGTAGAGAAATCAACAATAGTACAATACTTTAAAAACATATAAAGCTTTTTTATTTTACAGATACAATGTTGTGACTGTTGTTTGTAGCTGAATATAGTTCTCTTGAAACTGAGACTTTGGTTTGTTTTAATTGCTTCTAGGGATATTGTTAATGTTTTGAGAAATTGAAATACTGACTTAATCTTGCACAATAAAACAGAATCTGCATTTAAATGAAATAATTTAAATATCTACACATTACTGAAAACCCACTTCCTAATATTCTGATCCTTATGTATGTTAATGGTTAGACTAGGATTCAGCATAGTTGGTAGTCAAATACATAGTTGATGCTTTTCATGTATCTAATGAGGGCTACATCTTATAGTACTTCTTTAATGTAATTTCTGTATTCAGAAAATGCATAAAGTACAAAAGCCACCAGTTTATTTTTTATATGATTAAAAAATTTATTTGGAGTTTATAACAGAAACTTGATAACCATAAAATTTCAGTATAAAATGTTAAGCACTTTCTATTTCAACCACATTTTTGCTGAATTGGCAGCACCAAATTGATCTCTACCTCCTTTTTTTCCCTACAAGAAATGCAACTCCTCCAGGAATGCATCTATTTTCAGTTCTTATGCTTAATTCAACTTGGAAACTTGATCCTTTTGTTTGCTGTAAATTTAAGGACTACAGCAGAGCCATGCAGGGTTCCACATTGGCTCTTGGTGTTTGTACATAAACAAAACACATCTTGCTGGGAATGCTTGAGGAATAACGTGTTTGAAAACTGTATTGCTAAGGCAACTGATGTGTGCCTGGAAGATTTAATGGAGTTGAGAGGTTTCAGTTCTACTACAGTTTTAATCTATCCAGACTGGTAGGGACTGAGTTTTCATCTCTCTCCGGCACCTCTGATAGCATGTGTACATTTCTTATGTGAGCTGTTTCAGCTCATTAAACCAACAGAAAGTTACCTCTTCTCTTGGATTTGGCTAGACTTCTGCAGTTTTAAGGAACTGAAGCAGCAACATGAAGTTGAGGGCAGGTGTAAGGGGAGAGATGAGGTTATTGAGGGCAGGTGTAAGGGGAGAGATGAGGTTATCATCCTAATGCCTGCTGCACATACACAGCCTTAGACTTAATCAATAATGGAGCCATAGCCACAGTGAAGTCCAAGCAAAGCTGCCTTCTTGATTTCACACTTTCATTTTTATATATATATATATATTTGTGCTCATGATGAAAATCTGTAGTTTCTAACTGCATGGCTTCAATAGTTCTGTTTTAAATAATGGAAATTTTCTGAACCTGGAATCTACAGTGTGTGCAGACCCTCATGAGGGTCAAAACCAAAGGAAACATTTGCATGAGTCCAGGTGAGGTGGGTATAGAGCGGAATATTCTGGGTAGTAGAAATGATGCTTTGCCCTCCTGGTTTGCTCAATAGAGAAGAGTATTACCATTAGCAGAGGGAGCATTTCTGTACCTCAGGCAGTGGAAATTAAAAGGCTGTATAAAACAGCTGAAGGGACAGAGGTTTAGTCCCAATTCCTTTTATATATGCTGTTCATAACAGCTCTCCATGTGTGCTGTACATGTGTTCGTATAGATCCAGAAATAAAATCTGGATCTTACCCAGTGTATTAGGATAAAACCCTCATTTAGTACTCGTCATCATCTTCCAGGTCTTCACCTGCAGTTGCAGCTTCCAGTGCAGCCAGAGCTGCTGCAACTTCTGCATCTTCCTCCTCAGTTTCTCCACTGATGTCTCTGTGGCTGGGGGCTGTGAGCACCTGTGTGACTTTGGTAACAGCCACTGCCGTGATGCCACCAGTAATGCCTTCACTCAAATTTGCAGAGTCAGTTTCAAAAGGTTCAGTACTGCTCTCCTTCCCAGGCAAAGGTGGGGTTACACAAAGGTCCTGGTTCTCTATTGCTGAAGGACCAGTGTTTTGGTCTGAATGTGCGCAGTGGACTGAAAAGCTGTCTTTTTCAACACAGTTCCCGGTTTGATTGCCATTTTGGGGATAATCAATATCTGGCAGTAGTATGGCATTGTTTTGTGTCCCCAGTATTGAGTTTCCTTTGAGAAAGATGCTGTCTTGTGCAGACTGGGAGTCTGGAATACTGTTAGACACATCGCAGGCTGCCTTCCTCTGACTGCCTGTCTCTGGGTCGAGTTCTTGTCCAGACCTGTTTGATTTGGTGTAAAAGTCTCTACTGCTGGCTGAAGAATCCTCTGACTGGCTGCAGGTTCCCTTTTCACCGGCTTCTTTTGTCAGGTTTGTGTTGGGATTGAGTGTGGAGTGCCCGTCAGCACAGGAGTTGCCACCATTGACTGCAACATCAAGCTTTGCAGCACACTTCACAAGGCCATCCTCTTGAAAATTGTTGCCTCCATGATTCCAGAGAGTTTCTTTTGTACTGTTTAATGGATTTTTATTTTCTGTCCTATTTAGCTCATTCTTCTGGAGTTCATTTTTGTGTTCTTCATTTTCACTGTTCTCTTTGAATTTGAATTTATTGCTGCCTTGTTCATTGTGTTTGTAGCTGTCTACTTCATGGATGCATCCAGGTGATTGTACTTCTGGATCAAAAATATAGCTGGAGTAAGGAAAATTTGTAGAGGAAATATTACTTATGATGTTAATATAATTAGTAAGAAAGATTAAGCTTCATTTTTAACTTGGAGGTCTTGACGAACTAGAGTCACTAAACTTTACCTCAGGTCCTCAGAATTGAGCTAAAGCGAATGGAAATGCTGAACTCTGCTGTCAGCTGCTGTTTCCCGGGACTGATCCTAACTAACCCCTGTAGTGAGATTCACCAGGAACATAAGCAGGATGTTGGAGAACTGCATGCTGGCTGTTGCTTGTTTCCAGCTTTATTTTTTGTTATCTCTGGGGAACTGATTAGCCAATGAGTAGTCATCGTATGGATTGTTAATTAGTATGTCCTCATACAGTAGCTAAAATATCTCCTTTTTTTGCTGGTGTTCTTCCTTCAAGTCCTTTTCCGTCGTTTATTTTTTAACTCCACCACTTCTCCCCCCCCCCCCCCCCCCCCGATTTATTTTCTTCCTCTTGCTCTACATTTTCCTGACTTACCTCTTTCAGGGCCTCTCTCTTTTCTTTATCTCCCTTCTTTCTCTCAGAGCACCATTTCCCTGCTCCACTTCCTTACCTGTTCTACGGAAGTGACCAAGGGAAGGAGTAACCCCCAAGGGGGAATGAAATGAGGTCTTTATTAAACTAGTGAGGCTTCACTCTCTAGGGTGACTTTTAATATGAGAATAATTCCCACAACTAACTACATTTAAAAGCTATGATGGAAGCAAGGAACTCTACTTCATTTTCATTGCTTAGGGGAGAGAGGGAGATCTGAAAAAGTCTGTGCTCTGTGTTCTGCTGAACTGAGGGAAGCTCATGCTACCTAAATGGGAAAAAGCTTTACTAAAGAAGAGTTTTCAATGTTACACAGTTTATTATGTGAGATTGGAAGGGACCATAATTACAGTAAATAAAAAGGACATTTGGAGGGAATCAGTATGCCTATGCTTGAAGATACTGTAAACTTTGAGAAAACTCCAACCTTTTAAATAGACTAATTTAAGCAACAGGTGTAGGGGGGAGCACGGTCACATGGTTTCATGCTTTGCTTTTGTTCACTCTAAGCAACTCTTGTTCTTTTGTACCTTTGAATCATTTTGCAGCACCTGCACCCCATCTGGATTTTCTTTAATCTGAAAAGAGAGAGGGGAGGCAAGGGAGAGAGGGAGTGAGTGAAGCATTATGAAATTAATGTATGAGCAATTGCATTGAAAATGATGCTCATATTTAGAAGGTTTTTATTAGCTAAAGAGAAAGATATCTATGCAAGAATACATGCCATACAATTCAAGATCTTTCCAGGTTCCTGTCTTGCATTGGCAATGGGCTTTAACTGGGGAAATATCTGGGGAAGAATTTAACAATTCTGAGATGGTGGTGTTCTCCCAGAATTGTTTCCTAAGCAATTTTATGATTTGGAGAATTCTAAGTGTAATGGGTGGTGGTTTTGTTTGTTTGTTTGTTTGTTTGTTTTTAAATTTATTTATTTGGTTTTGTTGGGTTTTGAGTTGTTTCACTTTCTTTTCCAGTATTTTTTTTCCATTTGGAAGCTATTGGTGAAATTCTCTTCCATTTGTCCAGTTGTTTTCTGAAAGACTACTAGCATCTACCACATCCTTTCCTCAGTAGTTTCACAGACCAGCCTTGCCTGTGTGAAGAAGAACCTGCTTTTGTTTGACATGGACCTGGTTCTTACTAGCAGTATTTGGTGCCTTCTAGTTCTTCTTCACATTATCTGACCATCGTGTCCTATTGTCAGTATAAAACAAGTCCTGTACTGCCCCTTCAGTTCAGATACACAGTCTAAAGAGTCCTCATCTGTTCAAATGATACTGATTTATCAGTTACCCATACTGATATAACTTCATGCCTTTAAATTGTCCTTGTGGTGTTCTCTGAGTCTTTTGCATTTCAACATCCTTTCCAAATGATATGTGGGAACCACAAATGCAGAGCTCTCAAGGTCTTTGGAACCACAGATTAATTCTTTCCTAATATCTCCTTGTCTCCATTCACTTGACTCTGTGACATCTAGTGAGCAATGAGGTGACATTTTCGTGGAACTATCTCTGAATGAGGCACAGACAAGTTCCTGGGATTGACATTTTATTATATGCAATGTCTTGCACCTGCATTTTACTACAGTAAATTCCAGAGTTTGACTAGAACTAGCAGACACTGTTTTGCTACGTCTCTGTATATTGCATGCATTGTGTGTGTATGTCATTACCTGACCCAGTGAGATGCTAAGAACTATCTATTATACGCTTCTTATGCCAAGGTCTTTTATTATGGGAAGAAATGGTTTGCTAGTTTGGACCCTTGAGAACTTCTCTGATCTAAACCTAAACTCAAGTCCCAGATCAGAATATGCAAAAATCCTAAAGTCCTCAATGTTCTTTGTGTTGGGGCTATCATATTAAATTAATCAAGTCAAGATGGGTTGTTTAATATGTTTTGTCCATTGATATTCAGGCTCTTTCTCTTGAGATGCTCTACAACCTTGCATACTTTTGCCATTGCCTAAGGACAGCTACTCACTTCCCATCAAACAGGAATTGATGATGCAAGGTCAGGATGTTTTCTGGAATCATTTATTCACAAAACATTCAAGGAAAGTAGTATTGATTTATTCTTGCCAGGCATGGCCTGATCTGCACACCAGCAATTATGCTAGCAGAAATGTAAATCAAAACTCCTTTTTTTTTTCACCCCCTTAAAATCTAACTACCTCTGGTGTTCGCACTGAACTAAATACCTAATGTAGACCTCTCGTTCCTGGAGCCTCTAAGGTCCTACAGTCATTCAGCAGCTGGTTTTAGCTAGGGTAGAACTACTCCTATGCTTTTTGTCTTTGTCTGCTTGTGAATTGTTCTGAAGCAGAAACTTCTATCAGGAGGAGCCAGCTTGATGCATCTCAGTACTTGCTGGGAACTGGCTTGTAAGCCAGCTGTTTTGCTTCCTCTGTCTTGGTGCTGCTTCTCTCCCTGAAATGCACTCTCCCTTCCACACCTCTGCTGATCTTGTATTGTGTGTTCCTGTCCCTTAACAACACCATAGCAGGAATTCTGATACAGCATTTTTCATCTGAAGAGGATGCAATAACTGGTAAGATGATGAGTGTACTGACCCTCCTTATGTACAGTTGCTCTACATTAGAAACGTGTTTGGACAGGTTTTTTTTGAAAGGTGAATTAGCTGTAGCCCTTCTTTAGGTTAAGACTGATTTGAAGCTAATACAGTTGAGCCAGGCCCTGTGTGGACACTTGTTCTGGTTTGATTGACATCTTGAGTTTTAGCTTAAACCTGCTCATAAACTGAAGGAAGAAAACTACATAAAGTTGGCCAGTTTGTTGATAGACTCAAGCTTCAAGTCTCAGTGGCTGGCAGGTTACCACATGTTAGATAAGTCACCGTATGATCTCTGTTCATGGGAAAGACAACGTAACTTGGCTTGTTTTAAGCCTCTTGCTCTACAGTCTCTGCCAAGCTCTATCCTTCCTGTGAGCTAAGACTTTGCAAATACTATCATGATTTAGCAGGGATGAAATAACAATTGCTGTCAGTTGCTGTGTGAACCCCCTGAAATGCTCTTATCTTGGCTTTAAAGTTTATAGGTTTGTATGGTGACCAGTACAATAGGTGTTGCTTCTACCTGAGAGTGGGCACTTCAAGTCAGGCTGCTTCTGTTTAAACTATTATCTGACAGATTTCCTACTCAGGACTTTTATTTATAACTCTGGGATTTTTTTTTTTTTTAAATTTTTTTAAATCACAAAATCTTGCTGATAGGTTTTAAGCATTGAGAAGTGCTAATTGCTTTTATTCTGTTGTAGAGACATTTGTAATATAAAGCAATTATACATTGATATTACTGGTTTAGTCTTCATAGAAAGAACTTTCTTTTTTTTCTTTTTGTATTATTTTTATAGCTACTGTTGGAAATATCTCTGCAGCTATTGCATTAAGGTTTTCCACTGATTAGATACAACTGGATCTGCCCTCTGGCATGAATAAACTGCTACATATGGAAAATAATGTATATTGTACCATCTTATAAATTATTTCACATCCCTGAAATAGGAATATGGTTTTACAATGTCACTGTCTGAACACTGGCTTGTTTTTTTTTCCCTTGCCCTTTTCTTCTGTTTATAATAATCTTTCAAATCAAGCTGGAAAATAATTCCGGGAAACAATTACTTTTATAACATGAAAAGGCATGCTTTAGTCCTGCTTGTCTTGTTTTTGGTACCTAGCTCTAAAGCCTTGTTCCATTAATGGATAAACTACTGTCTGGAGCAGTTTGAATCAAGCGTGTGCTACAGACTTGAAACAACACAGGGTTAGAGACTTCACACGATGGATAATAGTATGTAAACTGATACTGAGTTTAGAAACATTACATCCTTATAAGATGTTTATTCTGTTAGATATGCTGTGCTGCTAAATTGATTAGATAATTTCAGATAAACGTGACGTGATGTGGAATGCTCACTTGTAGAATGCTCTAGGGGCTAGTTCCCCCTCCCAAAAAAGGCCGCCTGTCTAAAGTGGCAGTAAAATGCTTGAACTTTACATTTAGATCCTTAGAATTCAGATCAAAACTGCCATTAATCCTAGACAACTTTGTATGTGTTTTCCTCAGCCACCCCAGCTGACATTTGCAAAAGATAGTCTAGATATAATGTCCTTGCAATGTATTAGATGAGTGCTCAGAGACCAAGACGGTCTGATGTTATGAAAGACTTTCTTCCTTTGACGGAGTATGATACAGAAGAGCAACCATTTTAAAAAAAGTTGGAAAAAATCGTACTGTGGAGGGAAACAGTAGTTGGTCTTAATTTGAGTAGATCAGGATATGAATCCCATCAGTAAAAGAAATGCTAAAAAGGGGAGGTTGTTAAATACAATTACGGTGGCACCTGCGAAGGGAGTAAGATGGGACTTTTCTTTAAAGTGTGAGACCTTGGTGAAGATAACAAGAATAATGTCTGGCTCCAAAACCTTGCATTTCAAGCCACAATATGCTTTAAGAGAAGTCTGTTTTGCTTTATCAGATTTGAGAAATACAAGGTATCTGATTTTCAATCATGTAATAACATAGCTTATATTGTCTATTTAAACTTTGGCCATGTTATGAGTAAACAAAAGGCAAATGAGATATTGTCATGAAAAGGGTAGAAGAAATATTTTTGAGACATAAAAATGGTTTGGCACCTTTTTCAGTATTCTTGGGAGTTTACATGGAAACAGAAAAAGGTCGGTATTATTTTTGTTCATGGTGTATTTTTAATTCTGTCTTGAGTTTTATTTTTAGATTCTTTTTAAACACCTCCAGTAGCAGAGGCAGAAAGCTGAGGGGAGAGCATATTAAAATAACTTTTCTAGTAGATCTCAAACTGATAAACTCTGACTTTGGGTCATTCTTTCTAAGCCAGTTGGGTTTTTTTGGTTTGTTTGGTGTTTTCCTGTTTTCCTCCCACACCCTGATGCTTCTGTTTTTTTGCTTAGCTTTTCCCTCTCCTCCATCCTTTCCCACTCTAGATTACCAAGTAAGGAATTTTTTCCTACACGTGTATTATCTGGGCTGCTGAACCTGAATGATGTATCTCCCAGGGGCCTGAGGCACCTCTTCCTGATGACTTTT